TGGAGCTGGTGCTAATTATCAGATCATTGTTCAGGAATACTATCAACGCGACGCTTCACGAACGTATATTTATCCATAATCGAAAAAGTCTACCTCAGTGGTTGTTAAAACTTGGTCCCGTGCTATACCGAAGAAACATCCGCTCGTCCAAGCATGACCCCAAGAGAGAGAGGAAGTTGCACTACTAGCGAGTAACCCTAAATACGCTCACACGTTTCCATCAACGATGCGAAGAAACAGTGTCTATTCACCATCCTCATTATAGAACCACCAACTTCATCACCACGTATATATATATATATTTCACACACGTCTGAAGCCAGACTGTGCCAAACAAATCACGGTACAATCTTTATGAAAAAGAAAGACGTTCCTGAATTCAATGCACGTTCAATATTATTTTTGCCGCCCAAAGCTATTTTCTCTGCCCAGACCATGCGTTTCAACTAGATTAGCGAGATCGATATTTATTGTTAGCTGCCGCTGTCATACTTAGCTGTTTCGTCCAACCATTCGCAACATCAAACAACGCAAAACAATTGCAAAAGGTGTACGGTGAAAAACACAAAAAATTCTATCTTGCATTTTCCCATGTTTAACTGTTTCAACCACTTTTCACTATGTTCTGTATCTTAATTTACCTATCCCCTTTCACTGTCATTGTTGTTGCGTCGGCACCATGCTTGTTTTTCAAGCCAGTGGTAAATATATATATATATATATATATCCCACCATTCGCGTTGGTTACGTGCTGCTATGTACTAATCGTAGATTCTATAAGCGCAATTTGAATTTCGTGATTGCACAACCCGATTGCGCTTCCGTAATGACGTCATGCACCTCCCCCTACCAGGTCCAAGTTTGGACACCCTTGGCAATTTCCTGCCTCGGTCGAAACCCCGCGCCGAAGCAACCTATTTGGTGACATGCGAAAGACATGGACATCGACCACTTGTTCCGGTAGTCGAAGTCGACCACTTGGTTTTGCTTATCCGGTTGCCCCAAGAGACACGTGCAATGTGGCGCACACAGCAGTGTCCGAATACTGTCAACGTATTTTTATCCTGTTTTCTTAAGAACCAAGTCCTTGCGTATAGCAACATTGGCGGGATCGCTGTAGTAGATACTTGATTCTTCACAGTCGGGTATCGCGATCAGAGGACTGCTCGACGTGTTGTTTGTCGCGACAGGCCATGGTGGAGAAGTCCAAAAGACTTCATATGTGACACATGATCACATTGGTCGCGCTAGTAGTGCACGTTAAGGACTTCGAGATCAGTCTAATCTGTATGGTAAAACTCATGTATCTACTCATTTCTTGCATATCTGGTTCATCCCAAGTCTCTTCACCTTGGCGTCGCTTCTTAATACCTATCTTGTTCCCTCAACATTGTTCGGAGGACAGAAAACATCCCGCCGCATGAAACAACTTACAAGCCGATCTGCAGCTGCAAAATAGAACTTTGCGCGCTGCTACTAAACTCCCAATATGCCAAAAGTATAGAGGCCTAAAATGGATAGGTAGATTACTTGTTTCAAGAAGAAAGTTTCGCTTTCAGTTTTTACAACCATTAACCATGCACTTTTGTGCGCCGGTTATGGTTCCTGTCGTTTGGTGCCCGATTTGGATAAAAGAGCAGAATGAAGATTGGAATCTTGAAGGCAAAATCAAGCGGAAGATGGAGAATTCATATAGGATGTCGTTGGGGAATAATGAGCGGATGCACGAGCGCCACTGTTTGCGATACCCAACCATATCACCCAGTATCTCAAGAAAATGAAAATGAACCTTCACGGTCTACGGAGTACGCATTCTGAATCAACACTCTTCCTCAAACATTTTGACCTGATGAAGAATTGGAAGAATGCTACCGTTGTCGGTTTGTTGTCATGTCCATTATTGGTTTTAACAAACCACTTTGCCACATCCCGAAAAAATCCTTCTGGTCTCTGTGTCATCTGTTGACCTGTATCAACTTCAAACAATACGTTTTAGGGTGAACCTACAAGGGGATTTTATCAATAAATGAGTAATAAATAAGAGACAATTAACCAATGTTTCCAATGATTATCCGTAAAAAGCCCGAGGGGCTTGCAGATAAAGGCCATTGGAACCGAAAGTCTGAGACCCCAGATTGCGGAATGCCTAAGTCTGGCGACCAAAGTGAGAGATAATCTGTTTCCAAACTACGAAAGAAAGAAACCTGAGGTAGATTAACATTCATGACCAGAATACTGAAAGAATGTTGGGCTCTGGGTTGCTCAGGGTCAATATTGGTCACATGCAACCCAACTTAACCTCATGTGAGCTTCGAAAGACCGTTCGTGGGTTTGTCGGGAGAAGCCAATCGATTCAGCTTTTGATCACCTGATACGGTTGGTATTAGGTTTTACAAACTCGCGATTAAAGAGCGTTGACATTTAAAAGTACCTAAGCAAATATACTAATAACTAACAAAAAGAGAATATCCCATATTCCGGAATCATGGCCCATAATCAACATACGCGTCGACCAAAGGCGTGAAGGTGCCTGGACGAGAAAACAAAAAAACCCATTACATTACATTACGTAATGCGGGCCTCAACAGGACAAAACAACTCTATTGACTAATGAATGTGCTTACTCACTTCGTGGGGAACTTCTTGAATGCGGTCTAGGGCGCGTATATGATCCAGCGTATCGATCGACGGTGACAAACCACCGTGTAAACAGAAAATCGAATTATCCACCAATGCAGTCAACGGTAAATAGTCAAAGAGATCTGTGAAATATTTCCACACACTTGCATTGCCGTACTTCCTTAGGCATTCGTCATAAAAACCGTAGACCTGAGTTATCTGACGGCTCTCGTGATTCCCACGTAGGACGGTAATTCTATCCTTAAACCGCACCTGCAGGGAATTGTATTTTTAAACAAAAAAAAACCTTCAAAGCGACCAAGAGTGTCACCGTCTCGACAGAGTAATGTCCACGGTCGACATAATCACCCATGAAGAGATAATTGGTATTTGGGGCTTTGCCACCGATTCGGAATAGTTCCATCAAGTCGTGAAACTGTCCATGAACATCACCACAGACAGTGACAGGACTTTTTACATTTTGTACGTTAGATTCCTTCGTCAAAATATCTTTGGCCTGAGCAATGATACTTCCAACGAGCTACACCCACCTTCTCGCACAAAGACTTCACTTGAGCTTCTGAGAGCTGCTTGCAATTATAAAGCTGCTCTATCCATTGATCCAGCTCTTTGGCTTCAGCGCGGAAGTCGCCCGTCATCGTTTAGTGTAGCACCCGTGCGCGATCTTCACAACCGAAACAAGTTCGCAATGCGCGCCATAAATTGTTTCTGTGGGCTGATGCGTTTCAGTAAGGTATGTGTACGGGGCTGCGGCCATACAAAGGCTGCCCAAAGAAAATACAGTAATAGGCCATCCACAAGTCAGGCCCTAGACACCGTGTTTGCAACTATAGGCCGGTAAGTTTCACCTCGGTCTTCTGCAAGTGCCTCGAGCGGATAGTTGGGAAACAGATATTTTCTTATCTGATGGCGCATAGGTTGCCGATTAAAGCCCAGCATGGATTCGTGCCTAACCAACCTGCTGGCATTTCTAGACGAAGTTACAAAAAGAATAGACGCAGGTCGCCAAGTAGAGGTTCGCTACCTAGATTTCAGCAAAGCTTTCTACTCTGGAGCTAAAGTGCAGACAGTGGGGATTCTAGGTAAGGTAAGAGAATGGATTAGACAATTTCTCAGCTGTCACACATTCAGTGTGAGTTGGAAATTATACAACCGAACCTGAGGAAATATCGAGTGGTGTCCCACAAGGATCGGTGTTGGGCCCGCTATCATTTCTTTCTTCATTAACGACCTTGCGAAGGATCTCCAAAATCCTTGCTTCGTGTTCGCCGATGATGTGAAGTTAGTTGGGGAAGGACTGGAACAGGATCTAGATACAAGGTGGTCGGATAAGTGGGATCTGCCCCTGAATCTAGGTAGATGTCAGCTCTTGACCACAAGAGCCAATGGTGACGCGAGAGGTGTGATGCATCTGCAGCATGTCACTGAGGCAAAGGATCTAGGGGTAATGATCACAAACGACGTCAGGCCATCCCTGCAGTGCAAGCGTGCGGTTAATAAAGCTCGACATGAACTTTTCAGGTTATGCGCTGTTGTACATTGCAGAAGACCCGAGGTTTTTGTACCGTTGTACAAAACTATAGTGCGTCCTCATTTAAAATATTGCGTACAAGCGCCTTTTTTAAACAGGATGAACGGTGTCTTGAGAAAGTACAGCACTTAGCAACTAGAATGGTAGCAGGCCAGAAAGATAAGGGATGACTCCAACGATTGAGGGACCTGGACCTGTTCTCCCTGACCATCAGAAGCATACGGGGCGACCTTATAGAGACATTTAAGATTGTCAAAGGGCCTTCAGGTCTAAATTCCAAAACGTATTCTCGTTTGTTCTTGCCAGAGGCACGAAGGGACATCAACTTAGATGGGAAAGAAGTCATTGTAGACCAAATTTGCGAGGTAGGTTCTTCACAAACAGAGTTAAACTGTGATGGAACGCAGTACAAAGAGAGTTCTGGTTAGCGACCGAATCAAGAATAGGGCACATCCGACCAGACACGCAGACGCAGCGGCTGGAAGTGCCTCGCGAGACAATGGTGACTGCCAGCCGAAACGAGAGAATCGACAATTACAGTCCGACAGACAATCCGCAGCTGACGGGAAAGATACCCACCGAATTCCACAACGTCGGAACTGTTGATCAACGGATCTCGCGCCGCGATCGGGTCAAACCAGTCGCAATGGCACGCGGAAGAATAGGCAACGTACGTGCCAAGTGCGAACCAAAATCAACAAGGAATGACCCAGAGAAAGAGGCATGAATCATTCTGCCGCGCGGTTGAGAATTGACCGTATATAATCGAACGCATACATTGTTTCCTTTTGAATTGGATCAATAGACGTTCTTCTCAGCCAGCTCGCCTTCTCGCTACAATACCACTGTAGAATAAGTTACCTGAAGCAGTGGTTAACTGTATTAAAGATGAATCTTTCAAGGGAGGACTAGATGAATGCTGGGCAGTGGTATTTCCTAAAGTTGAGTGTTGAAAGTTAATCGTCAGACTTCACTTTCCGAAACGCTGTAAGGGATCTGATACTGCACACTAACATTCTGCCTTTTAGAAACTACTATTGACTCCAAGTGTTGCAAGCCAACGAAACCGCCGACAACACAAGGAACTGGACGCGTGATTGGCAAGAGCCACCCACTCACCCCAATGATGGTTAGCCACTATCTTGCATTCACACAAAGATCAGTCTGATTTCGGCCGTGCATACACAAGCAAAACCAGACAGTCTTACATGTTACAGCAGCCTCTTATGGTACCAATACGAAAGAAGACAAACCAGAGTCCTTTAGCCCAATGTTGATGCCCTCGCCCGTAATTGCGTGTCACCTTCCTTATACCACCCAGTGTTTGCACCTACAGCGACGAATGCGTTCAGTCATACTCAAACACACATCCATACCATCCATACATATATGCAGTCTTGTGCATATCTTATTGTATACCGGGTTACGTCCTTACTAGTCCCAGGACGAGAAAGGCAGTACGACGCTGAGTGCTTGGCAGACGCTTTGACAATACTCACGGTTGTATTTCATGCTGAATGTTTTGAAAATCCTTCCGAACCCATAATGATTTATGGTGAAATATTGCTCTTATATTGACATTTCTCGATCACAAACACCACACATCATTATTTACCTGTTAATTTGGATGCCCGGCACATTTGAATTTTGCGTGGTTTGAGAACGGGAGCGACTGTTTGCCTCTCTCTGGACATTTTATTTGGCTCGCTTGTTTGAGTGCTTTTGGCCGCATATTTCAGGTTTGCTTTATTGTACACACTGTAATAATTTCGTTAATTCAGTACCGTAGAACATTGCGAATCAATTGTGTTTTTAATTCGGGATTCGTATCGGTTNGAGGCTGGTGGAGGAGTATTCATGGGACCCTGGTCCCAACAACAGACAAGGAATCATTCGTACTTGATCATCATTCGTCATACAGTGCAAGAAGAAATGCAGGGACAAGAGTCAGTCTCGGAACCGGGCAACATTCGTTCAGGAGAGATTTGGCTAACTCGGCAAACTCTTTACCTAGAAGGGGAAAACGTTACTATTGCCAAAGAAATGTGCTAGTAAGCTCAGCCTTCGATGAGGTCTCCGCGCAATCCGCTTTTTTTCTAGTGAAAAAGGACGGAGCGCGTGCAAACTCTCTTTGTATATTTTCCCCGCATACCCTCAACCATCCGTGTTGCCAGTCTCTGAATCCGCTCCAGACAGGCGGCGTCCTTTTTGTAGAAGGGCGACCAAGCCTCCACACAGTATTCTAGGTGAGGCCTTACGATGGCTTT